AGGAGAGAGAGAGAGAGAGAGAGAGAGAGAGAGAGAGAGAGAGAGAGAGAGAGAGAGAGAGAGAGAGAGAGAGAGAGAGAGGCAGGCAGGCAGACAGACAGACAGAAGCGGAAAAGAAGACAGGCCGGTAGTTGAGCAGACATGTAGATAAACGAGCAGGCAGAGAGTGTGATGGGAAGCAGTATCAGTTATTGTTTCCGCTTGTCAAAATGGTGTTGCGAGAATGCTTGTGGAAAGTTGCAGGGATGTGTCCAGACTTCATTCAATGGAGACGTGGCACAAGAGGTTGTGTTGGAGCTTTGATCATAATGGAGATGAGAGGTGGTGGGTAGGCAGGTGAGGGGATGCCGAGCTATGGAATTTGTTGGGGGTAGGCAGGGTTCGCGTAGATGAACCCCTGACTCTATATCTGAAGTTTTGAGCTGTGTCTTTTTTTAGTTCAACGGGATCGCTTAGTCAACTGGATGCCAAGATTGATGAAACAGCTGGGCTGGGCTGGGCTGGGCCGGGCCGGGCCGGGCCGCCCAGGTAACCTTGATTCGTCTGGGAGCCATCTGCGGCCTGGCAAGGTAGGCCTGCATCACGTGTTAGACAGGCCCCACCGGAAATTGAAGGAGGTCAAGATTCATGATGTAGTATTTAAGCACAAGGACATTCATTAGGTGGCTTGGTTTTGAGAGACTCTGCAATGTTGGACAATTATGCGTAGGTTTGTTTCCTTAAGGATGAGGTTGTTCAACAGGTGAACTCTGGACAATTCAACAAAAACATATGTAGTGCAGAATATTTCTGTCTATCAGTCAGGCGTCTAAGGCTAGCTCTGCCTCAGAGGCCTGGGCAGTCCCGGTAGGATGTTAAAAAATGAAAAAAATCCAAATAAGCTGTGTCCGAGCACAACGTAAACAATTGAAAACATCCAAACGAACTCTGTGGGCTCGGTATTGCGAGAAACATAATTGGGTAGTGATCGGCCTAAGAGCTCGATCATGTGTTGCGCCAGCAAATACCTACTCAGCCATTAGATCTTTGGACGATCTGACGGGCACAACGGATCACATCAATGAAACAAGAATGGAAGAGGAGCTCCTAAGTAGATGTCTGATTTCTGATGCGCCAATCAAAATAATTATGAAACGGGCGAGAGAAGAATCGGAAAAAGTGTGAGGTGATGGGTATAAACAAAATCAGCATTTTTTCTCCATTAGAAGAGTACACAGCTCGGTTTTAGCGGGAAGCCCCTTGCCTCTGCATCACTACCATCTTCCCCCGAACACAATGCGCTCTCATTTTGACTGTATCGGACTGGAAAGTTAGCTTGTATATGCTAATTATCAGGGTGCGTTATGTTCGGGGGAAGACGGTAGTGCTAAGGAAGTTCTTTTCTTTTTGTTTCATTGTAACTCTTTTCGTCAATTTACAAATAGAGAGGAAGTTAAATTTGTAGAGTGCATTCGATTGGTCCGGTCACACGGCAAGTGTGTAGTTGGAGCCGTGCTCCCAGGACGAAGACCTTTTGCCTGATCATGTGCATAGTGGGACCAGCCACAGGGAAAAATGTGGTGTGAAATTGCAAATGAATGCCTTTTGGCCGAGTGTCATCTCAAAATCCTTGCCTATTTCCAGATACAAAGTGAATAGAACATGAGAGTCGTGCAAGAAGACCGCTCAGGAGAAACAATGAAATGTCTTGGCTAGCATGCATATCGGAACCAGGCTGGCAGCAGAATCGATCAAGTAAAATGGGAGCACAAAACCTAACGAGTTGAAGTCTCTCTCTCTTTGATGATGAAAATCCCCCTCCTCGCCTCCCAAATATCAGTACATCGAGAGCAGTAACCATTTGCAGCTCCTGCTGGTGGAGAGAGAGAGAGAGAGAGAGAGAGAGAGAGAGAGAGAGAGAGAGAGAGAGAGAGAGAGAGAGAGAGAGAGCACCTACTGTACTACCTGCCCTTAGCTTATACTACTCCACAGTACAGTGCCACGGAATTCTGTGCTGTTTCCACCAATGTCTGCTTGAACAACATGTCATGCTGGAGCACTTCTTGGTGTCCGCTATGCAACATTGCCGAGGGCGTCTCCCGAGTTCTCCCTTGTCGCACCACCTTTTGTCTTCCTCGGCCTCCTCAACACTACGGCGGCGCTCTACTTCCTCAGTGCAGCCACCATTCCCTTCCTTGTCCTCCTCAGCCCCCCCTACACTATGGTGACGCTCTTCTTCCTCGGTGCATCCGCCATCATCTTCTTCCCCTTGTCGCACCTTCATGTCTTCCTCAGCGCCCCCAACACTATAGTGCTGCTCTTCGTCCTCAGCGGCTGTGCTGCTGCTGGCCTGATAGTGGATGCTGCCGTTCCCTGGCAAGCTCCAGTCAGCATCCTTCTGAACGGCCAAGCGCGAAGGCGTTGGTCTCTCTCTCTCTGTGCTGTGCTATGTTTAGTGCTGGCCCTCTCTCGCAGCCCACCTACGGCTGGTGCTGCTCTGTCAGCTGAAGCAACGTGTGCCACTCATGGAGCTCACAACAAGAGCCCAGCGACGGCCAAGCTTCCTCTAAGCAATATGGATTTGACCTGCTCTGACGTGATTTCGGTCTTCTGTCTTGACGGTAGTAGGTACCTCAGTCCGTAGTCCTCTGGACAAGGCCGTAGTCTACTGGGTCCCAGACAGCCTGACCAGGCCCATCCCTTGCCATGACCAGCCTTTACTCCTTCGGCTCTGAGCCAGGGCCCATTTGCCTTTTGTTATCGGCTGTGTGAGGGAGGCCCTTGTGGGCTTATGACATACCCCTTCAAAGTTTAAACCCTTTCAAACACTTGGTTAGCAGGTACCCCACTTTTTGTTGTTACCGCACCACCTCAAGCACCATCATGGGTGCGTGAGGGGCCAGTTTTCCTTTTTTTTTTTTTTTCCCTTCCTGTTTTGGCTTGGGGTCTGTGTGTGTGGAACAAATGCGTACAGTTTTCTGTAAATATCTTTTTGAAGTGCTCAAAATCACTCCATAGATAAGTAATAAGATAGTGGCATTAATAAGAAAGATGGCAAAAAGATTATTCGACATAAAAGCAAGCTAGCGAGACGAAAGTCGGAACGAATGAGGATAATGAACTCGATTATGTAGTGACTGAACATAATTCTCTAAGTCAGCGAGTAATGGCTTGGACTCTTAGGAATGGTTCTTTTCTCTAGCTAGCAAGCCTACGGCCTTTGCTTTTTTCCGAGTATATTAGATTGCTTTGGCTTTGAGTGATCAATCATCAAAAGCTCCGTAAAAAAAAAAAGAGAATTCATAATGGCTTTTAGAAGTTTTAGGTCACTAGAACAATTTGCCTTTTTTTTGTTTTTGTTTTTTGTTAAACCAGCGACCTCTACTAGAGGGGGTGCTATTATTCCATTGATTCCTTTTTATATAGGAAACTTGTATCTTCTCTACTATTTTCCTGTTTTTTACTTTAGCCGACATTAGTCTGCCAGGCACTAGTAGCTTTATTGGTGAGTTTTTTATTTTAGTAGGCGCTTTTCAAGCTGCGCCCAACGTGGCAACATTGGCCAGCTTATTCCACTTGGCTCTATAATCGTGTTTGTGTTTGGAAATTTCCTTAGAAAAATAATAAAAAACGTGTTTTTTTTTAGGCTACCAGCCGGGCCGCCCGGGTCCCGGGTGGCCAGCCCGTGCAAGGACCAGAGAAGGTGCCAGAAGAAGAAAAAAAAAAAAAAAAAAAAAAAAGACCTCCAAAAAATTTGAAACAAAACTATGTTATGCAGAAAAATAAATTGAACAACTTTTGCCTCACGGTCACATCGAAATTCTTTACCAAATTTAATATAAAAAATAAAATAAACTATATATTTTAATTTTTTTTTTGCCCGGCCGGGCAAGTGACCCCGGGCCACTCTGGTAGCCTAGTTTTTTTTAATATTATTGCATACAGCAGGATTTGAACTCATGGTCCGTTGGTTAACAGTCAGGCTTGTATATCTTTCTGCATCCATGAATAGTTGATGCTGTCTATTTTCACTAATGATTACGTAGGGATTGCTGAAGCAAGGCAAGGCGCTCAGCCTTTCGTAGTAGCAGTCTTGGCACGCGACTTATTTGTCAGTTTGTACAAACAAGAAACATCTTTGTAAGCATAGTATGCACTACTTACAGACAAACTTATGATGAGACGTCCTTGTGATATCTGGCGCCCCCTGATGTTAGTTTTTGACCGTAGAAGTTTACTGACGAACAGCGTAATCTTGTGTGTGCAGCTACTGAAGGGCATCAAAGGGATGCATGAGCTTGGTTATCTTCACCGTGATGTGAAACCGGTGAGTTCTGGTATTAGAGTGCCGAGCATTAATCTTCACCTGTTGTTTTCAATGTTGTTAGCCTTTGATCCTTGCACCTTTAGACGTTGCAGAGTTCTTATTTGTAGGTGTTACAGTTACTGTCAGTCAGATGCCGTTGTCAAGTTTTGTATATTATCTAGCTTGATGTTCAAATAAAATATCACACAGTTCGTGTGTGTGTGTGTGTGTGTGTGTGTGTGTGTGTGTGTGTGTGTGTGTGAACGTTAGACCTTGCAAAGTTCTTATTTGTAGCTGTTGCGGTTACCGCCAGCCAAGGGCTGTCGTCAAATTCTACATGATGTTTTTTTGAAGAAGATGTCACACTGTTCGTTGCTTGTGTGTGGGGGTGGGGTGGGGGG